AACACCAGCTTCACCAGTACCAAGTGCTGCACAACATCTCCCAGTATCACTATCAACAGCAATTCCCCCAACTGCCACTGAACCAACCACTACTTCCACCTCGCCACCCTGCTCCGAGGCCGGTCAAGGCCTCCCCACAGGATGGACGCCCCCACCAAGGAAAGGCCTCCCGGCCCCAGAACCCCCCTAACAGCCAGGCCTCGTCCCCAGTCCGAAGAGAGAAAAAAATCATCCCCGCCTCGCAGCTCGTAGGCAGGTTGGGAACCTCGCTTGCGAGATCGTTACCTCGGCGCTCCAAGCCCGAGTTCCCACTCACGGAAAACCGATTCGGCGCCCTGGCAGTAGCAGACTACTAGCATTCCGGGCCCATCGAGCTCGGCAACACGGAGGCCAGCAGCGCCAGTACAAGGCCCACTCAACAACGAAGGCGCCGGTGAAGTCGCCGAACCGCCACTCGTGTCCTGTCGGAGCTCAGAGGCAAAGAAGAGACGAGCTCGGATGAGGTAGGAGCTGCCCCGATTCTCTCAGTTCCTTCCCCCCTCGCATCAGAACTCCTGGCGGTCCCCTTGCCCAGAGATTTCAAGCTCCCACCTCTGGACAAGTATGACGGGTCCTTCGACCCCAGCGACCACATTGACGCTTTCCAGTCCCAAATGCACCTCGCCAGGGCCAGCGGATCGTGCATGTGTGTGGCCTTCACCACCACCTTCAGGGGGTAGCCCGCACTTGGTACAGGAACCTGGCCCCTAGGTCGATAAAGTGCTGGGCTCAGTTCGTGCAGATCTTCACCGCACACTTTGTCACCAGCAAACGGTGCCCCAGAACAGAGGAAAGCATCTTCGGAGTAGTCCAAAGGGAAGGAGAATCCATMCGGGGCTACATCAAGCGATTCAATGAAGCATGCTTGCAGATACCGCGGTTGGACCCCGCGGTGCAGCTCGCGGCGGCCAAAAGAGGGATAACGCACAAAGAATTCAAATGGCACATGGTAGCCAACCAGCCCGCAACCGTGGCCGAATTCCTCAAGCTCGCGAACAAGTTCATGAGGACAGAGGAAGAAATCAACCAACGAACCAAAGGCGGGAATGAGAAAAGAAAGAGGGAAGGCGAGCCCTCCAACCCAGTCGACAGGAAAAACCCGGCCCGAGAGCCGAAGCCGAACTAGTCATTTCGAGCTCCCCTAGCAGTTCGGACGGATTACACGCCGTTAAACACAAGGCAGACCGAGATCTTAATGACGATCAAGGACGCCCCATACGTGAAGTGGCCACCTCGCCTAAAGGGAAATCCAAACGAGAGAAATAAGAATTTGTATTGTAGTTTCC